AAAACAAAAACAAAGGGAGGTGAAGAAAAATATAGACAATCATTTTTTAGATTTTGTTGATAATAGGTCCAGTTCTTTTATCATAATGGAAACCCTTATGAAAAAAGTACTTAATTTTATTGAATGTGTACTTGTAGTGTACTTAAAATCCTAAAAGTATGTTTTAAAAAAAAAACTGTAATTGCAGATATCATATTACTGAAATAAAAGCCCACTTATGTGTGATTAAAGAGGGCACACTCCCACGACTAGGTTTCTTAACAAAGTGCACTTTAATAATGTCAAATTAAGTGTTTTACTTTGAAGTACATTTTAAATTGTATCAATTTGTCATGCTTTAAGAAGTACACTTATTGTTATTGACTAACATACTAGAGCACATGTAAAGCACTAACTGTAGTGTGTTATTCAATATTACATTTAAAGTGAATATATTTTAATATTTTTTGCACTAAATTGCAACTTCATTATTACAATTGTGTAATAACAAATATATCTAAAAATACATAACATACGTTTCAATACAAATTACAGTTTTAATTTTAGTTTACCATTATACTTTAAACATATTTCAAGTACAAAAGGTATGATTATAAAATGACATATTATTAAGTGGATCAAAAAAAGCACTCTAAATTTCAGCTAACTGCATTTTATATTCATTTTGAATAAACTGGAATATATTTGAATTTAAATGCAATTTTTGTGTCCAAAAGCATTTAAAACAAAAAACTTCAGCATGAACTGAATGTGAAGCGTGTTATTTTCATAGTAAGAACCCTTTTTAAAAATGAACCCAATTTTTTTCAGATTGAGGTGAATTGCATTGTGGGATGCATTAATTAGACATCCTATTCATACAGAGAAAATGCATACTGTGCATAGTATACACACTGCATACTGCAGGAACAGTATGAATATCATAGAAGAATGCTATTCCAAACAGCCCATGAGAAAACTGAGAAAAACATCTTTTTTTAAATTAAATTCCATTGTAAAACAGGCTCTGCTCCAGTCAAGAGATGCACCAAGTTTTCTCAGCTGATGATAAATCTCATCCCCCTTTCTGAAAATTTTTTATAAAAAATCATTAAAACAACAGAAAGGCAAACACTTGAGTTTTACAGTTAGGTACAGTCCTTACAGTTACCATATGGACATAACATAACAGTTGCACTAGTAACATACTGTATACAACTGCAAGGCTCGGAAAACAAGGACAGCAGACAGACAGAGACTTACTCATTTTTCCATCTCCAGACCTGTTTGAGGAACTCCTCTCTACTGTAGTCCCGTCTGCACTTCCCCTGCTCCCTCATCAGCTTCCTCTCAACCACCGACTGTCACACACAGAGACACATCACAGATCATTCCGAACAGAAACGGACACCTAAGCATCCTATTTTACCATTAAACAGAGATAAAGAGCTGGGATACCTGTGTTGCAATCCCAGCATGGTCGCAGCCGGGAAGCCACAGCACCTTGTAGCCCTGCATCCGTCGCCTAAAAAAATTATTTGATGAAATGGTCATATCATCTTGGACTAAAGAGTCCATTTATAGAGATATTTTATACATGCATTGCTGAGGCATGTAATGTTAGAGAATAATAATCAAAGAGTTTATTCAAATGGTACCAGCAAGCCAAAGCATCTTCTATAGCCACTGTCAGCGCATGTCCGAGATGTAAAGTGCCGGTCACATTCGGCGGTGGAATACAGAAGGAGAAATATTTATCAACCGCATGGGGCTGTTTACTCTGAGGAAGAAGGTAAAAAACAGGGATTAAAAAATTAAAAATCTACTTACACTACTGGGGTCAGTAAGACTTTTATGCTCAACAAGACTGCATGTATTTAATAATAATAATTAAAAAAACAATAAAGAGAAATATTACTGCAATTTAAAACAAGTGTCTGTGAAAACTTTTTGAATTTGAAGATCAAGGTCAATTGTACTTAATTTGACTTAATTTTAACATGCAAGTATCTTCTGTTGCTTCTGAAGGACAGTACTAAATGGAAAAAAACTAAAAACGATATTTCAACAAAATAAGAAAAATTGGGACATCTTCATCCTATTCAAAAGTTTTCCCCCCCGGCTCTTAATGCATCGTGTTTCCTTCTGGAGCATCAGT